CCCGTCGGCAGCGGCACGAAGAGGACGCGGCGCACAGCGCGGCCGCGCTCGAGAGCGCGCGCGCGGCGGCCGAGTCAGCGCAGACCGCGCTCTCCGCCGCGCGTGCGCGCGCGCAGGAGGAGGGCGCGGGCCGCGCGGCCGCGGAGCGCCAAGTGACGGAGCTGCAGCAATTGGTGCGGCAAATGGAGGGGGGGAGGGAACGGACGGAAGCGGCGGTTTGGGAACTGCAGGTGAGCGGAGTTTAGGAGAGGCTCCTGAGGGGCTAAGGGAGTTTTGGCGAGTTAGAGAGTGCGTCCATAGGGAGTCGTTTTCTGAGAAAGTCGACTGGTGGCGACAATTTAGATCGAACGTCCCCTCGTGCAGGCGTCGAAGCATAGCGTCATTGTCAGAATCTTTGGGGTTTAAGAAGGTGCGGTGATTGGAATAAGCAGGAAGTTGACTTTCGGATTGGGTCTTGGCAAAAGCATCGAAGAGTCAGAAGAGCCTCTGTTCAGGCGTCGAAGCGACGTGTCTTTGTGAAAGGGCATCACGTCCACTCTGCAGACTGAGGAGAATATCCTCGAGGAGCAAGCACATCACCCCAATTGACGACCTGTTCCAGAGCTTTTGTTCCCAAGTCCATTTCCGAACGCCATCATGTACAGCTGCGTTCCCATGTATAGCAACTAACCTGCGACTGACATGTTCCCTGCGCCAGGTTCGATCAAAAGCGAAACTGTCTGAAATGTCACTGACCTTCTCTGCAAACTTTGTTTCTGCAGGAGAAGACGTCATCACTGGGCGCGGCCGAGCGCGAGCGCGCGCGCCTCGAGACGGAGGTGGTCCCCGCGCTGCGCGGCGAGATCGCGGAGCTGCAGAAGATGCTCGCGGCCGCGCACCACCACAAGGCCGAAGCCGCGGAGAGCGCGGCGCGCGCAAACCAGCGCCTCAGGTGAATCACCGGTTCCCTGGTTTGTTTCGCTTCTGGCACCCGCAGAGGTAGAGTCGGACTGCTTTCGGACAGGTAGATTGGGAATGACAGATAGATTGGAATAGCGAGCGTTACAGCGGTTGTACGGAGCATCTTTCTGCTAGGCTATCCGTTCTGCTCTGCCGGTTGAATCGACGCGTGTACATTGAAAATGGTTCGGAAGCGACGGAGAGTCAAAGGGCCAACACTGGATGTGATCACAGTCCTTAAACAGTAGGCAATTACCATGTTTCCTACGAGGTGCGGCTTAACGTGTCTCCACGCGCAAGCCTAGCCATGTTGATTTCAAGACACTGTCCTCTGAAAGCGAACCTCGAATCAGATGCCAAAACATTCACACGGCGCTTCTGCGTAGCTCTTCCCATCCGCCGTCGATGAATATTGCAGATTTCTAGCAGAATGACTGACCCACTCGTTTCCTCGCTTTCAGGGTCGCCCTGAGCCAACAGGAGATCAATTACAACAGCGCCAAGCGAAGGATCGCTGACCTGGAAGATCGAATCATCGCGCTCGGCTCCATTCCGCCCGCGACCGCGTACGAGGAGCTAAAACCCCAAACCTCGGACACATTCCGCACGGATCCAATTGACGCGGGACTGCGCTTCTCGTCGGACTACAGCGCCTTCAAATCCGGCCTGTCAGGGGGGAACTCAAGCTGGGCCTCGCCCCCCCGGGAACCGCCGTTTCCAAAGTCTTTTTCGGATGGCGCCGGGCATTCTTCTAGTTTCAACTTTCAGTCTGCGTTGGCTAGCCTAGACAGCTCGATTGGGAAGCTGTTCCAGCAACCGGGGACTCGAGCGACCGCCACGTGGCAGGACGCGACGCCGTCCGGGAAACACGGCTCGTCCCCCGACCTTAACCGCCCGGCCAGAGCGTATACGGTTCCCGACCGGAGTGCCACGTCACCCCAAACTGCACGGACATACTTCTCGCCCCCGCGGGGGTCTGTTGTGGGCGCAGCTTCTCCACCCGTGAAGCGAAACCTGGATGCGTCGCTCGAGCGCGCGGCCGCGGGGTTTGAGCGGGGTTTTAGCGCGCCGTCGAGTAGCGTGTGGGAACGGGTTGAGCGACGGTGTGAGGAGGTGCGAAAAGCGATGGAGCGAAGCGCTGCTATTGGCGCAAAGTGACCATGGGGTCTGATACTAAGGACTAAAGCTGAACTCCATCAAAAGCTATGAGCCAGATTCAACGGTAAATGCATTGGGGATTAAGAGCATGAGATCAACATACTGCCGAAGCATGTTCGGGCAGTGGAACATATTGATCTCAGAGTACGCATTAATGGCCTAGCTAGCGCGCTTAGTACATGTCTGGGTTCGACCGGGCACATCTTCCATTCCGGAAAAGAGCTTTGAAGAACCAGTTTGAGATTGGGTCACCGTTCCGAGTAGCCCAGCCTTCGACAATTAGTGAACACGATCAGAGCCATGGACAGAGCCGAGAACGACTCTCTTTGGCAGTTCAAAAGCAGACTTGTTGCGTCAGGGTGGACTGCCTAACGAATGTGGGCATGCAAGAATGTTCTCCTTGGATTGAATACCGGATACCAGCCATTACTTCCTAGATTTGCTGCATGGTCATGACACGAATGCTAAGACGTGATTTCATCAGGTTACTTTTTCTTTGTTGACGGTACCTGCATGCATGCAGGTTGGCAGCAATCGTAACCTAGCTACCGGCTAGACCATCGATTGCCACGGCTTGAATTGAAATGGAATGCCGATTCTAGCCAAAGACGTCCAATGTTCACTACCTTGGTATGAGCTGTTACGGGCCAGATCGTACCCTCTTCTTCATGCCATATGCGCGCGCCACATCAACCGTACAACTGACTCTTTTGGATGCGTTTGTGCTTCCACTACACCCGGATTGCTCCTCATTCTGTGCTAGGCCCCTTCAATCTTTTGTACTTGGAAGGCATCTGACAGCAGGACGATCGACAGCGGCTCGTTTTGTTATACAGGCGCATCCAGACTAAAGTGCGATCGAACGGTATGGTCCTACAAATGCTGTAGAACATTGCGGGCTGTCCGACCCGGAATCGAGCGAGTTTGAAGCTTGCTTCCTATGGGCTTTCATCGCCGGGCTTCGCCGCGCCAGGTGAGAGCCCGGGAAGGGGGGTCGGGATATCTGGTCCAGCAACCCCGGCGAGTTGACTTAGCGTGGAGATGCTCTGGGCCTGCACTCAAAAAAGGGGACCTTCTTTGCGCAGTCATGTAGTTAGGCAAACGAAATATCTTTGATAATCCAATCAATCCATTTACCGAGGCAGTAGGCGCTTCATTTTACGACGGCTTGGAGTTTGTAGAGCCCACTTTGGACAACGGACGCGCCTCATGTGGATTTCCATCAACGCGAGCGGACCGATGTCAAGCGGTATTTTGGTCAGAAGAATAATCAATGTGCTCGTTTCAGCTGCAACACCGGTTCTTGAAGTTGGAAGCTTTGAAAAGGAATTGATCATCGACGTCGACGTTAAAAGTCTTCCTACGTCGAGTTCAACTGTTGCCCATATGATTCCAATGTCACGTGGATACATAGTGATGCTCGCCGAACCGACACATCATCTTTGATCAACTGATTGTCCGCATCTACCGGCCCTGAAGCAGATATTCCTGACCTGAGGAGTAATCCAACCCGTTTCATCAGCCAGATTTACCATCGAAGAAAATTGATGAATGTTAGGGAGAGCTAGCTGAGCTCAGCCTTTCACGCCAGAAAATAGCTCTTTGAAACCTGACCCTCATCACCCTGTCTACGGCAGCAACCGAAGCCCTCGAAGCACCAATGTCAATAGCCGTAATTGTTTCCCTTGTCCACGGAAGGAACGCATCATCAATCACCCAACTTTCCCCTTCAGCAACCGTACTTTGCTCGCATTCCACGTCAGCCAATACATTCAGTCACCATACCCGAATCCAGCAAACCCTAACTAGTCTTGTTCAATCAAATGATCACACAGGAATTGGGCCCAGCTTACCCTCGCCTCATAGGCCTGCGCCCCTTTTGAGTCGCCCCTGCTGAGGCAGTCTTGAGCGAGGTCGAGGCAGACTCTGACCCTCTTCCGCTCGTTCTCGTTCCGTTTCCGGCCGTCCTCAAAGATCGCCTCCAGCATCGCGATGTACTTTGCTTGGAAGTCGTCGTTCCTCGCCCCGGTGTGGGCGGTTCCGGGCACATCGGTTCCGGGGAACGGATCTACGGCTTCCGTGGTCATCCGCTTCCGTTGATGCCCGTCCACCGGTGGTACCGCACCGACTGCGAAGGAGCGAGGCAATCGCAGACGTCGAAAGGACCGCCGGAATCAGGCGCCGCGAATCAAGTTCGTTTAGTGATGGTGTGGTCATATCAATAGTAGGTTCCTTCGAGAAACGGAGCTAGCTTTTGTGCTCCATAAAACGAGGACTCACTTCCGATCTTTAGGGGCAGAATAGATAGCATCAACTGTGGAAGAAGAAGTTTGTTCCAATTTGGCTGGCCGTTTTAGGGTGAGTAAACTGCATGGAACCGCTACCTTCATGTTCCTGAGGTCCGAAACTGTCTCGTTTCTCCCTGAATCAACGGGCAAGTCAATCCCTTCTAGAAAATCTCCATCGAGTAAGAAGCCAGAATGGATTTAGCCTGTTGCGTAATTCAAAACAGAGATTGGCACGAAGATGTTACTTGTCTTCTTCCTGAAAACATCCAACAAAATGAGTTTGCTGAAGATGCAACCAGAACCATGTTTTAGCAGGCATCATGGGCGCCTTTGAACTCCCGAAATCCTCGTGCTGCTTCAGCGCACAAAACTTTAGGCCCTCTCTGCGCGTTTTCACCTGATTTTGGAAGCGTCGTTATGCTTCTGAAGCCCGAAGCACTCCTAAAAGCCTCGCCCATTCATTCTTCAAAATTCCCTTTGTTGGATTTTCAGAATCGTTCTAAAGGTTCCCAAACGCCTATACTTGGCAACGTTCGCCTGAATTAACCGTCGCTTGAACCAATATTCGAGTCACCCGGACACTTGTACTAAAACCCATGGACCAGATGATGACGCGCTCTGCACCCAAACCCACCCTAACTACCAAAGCAACTCCACTCGACTCCCGGGCGCGTATCCTACTTCAAGCTGCGCCGGCTGGTTCGAGCGAACATTGCCAGAGTCAAACGCCCTAAACCCTAAGGCCCTGAAACTATAAACCCTGAAACCTGAAACCTTACGTACCCCGCGTTGCCGTGGCGGCCCGCAGAACGTCGCGGCCGCGGCTCACATAGACCACTTTCCCGATCCCGTTGGCGTCCCCCACAGTCGAGTCATACACTTTCAGGTCGCCCGCCATTCCGCTCAGTCCGCTAATCCAGTCCACGAGCTCCCGCAGCTCCTCGAGCGGAACTCTGTACTTGAGCTTCGCGAGAAAGGCCAGGTGGGACCGCATCTTCGTAAAGTCGCGCAGCTCCGCCACCGTTTCCTGGTGCGCGCGCGTAAGACTCTCGTCGCCCACGTAGCCCTTCCGGGGGTCCCACTTGCAGGAGAGGTACTCAGCTGGCACCGGAAGCTTCTTCTTGCACAGCTGCCCCCGTGTGCCCACAATCGGTGCGACCTCGTACCGGAAGTCTCCGCCGGCCTCGATGCACTGCTTGAGCCGACTCGCCCAGGTTCCGTTCACGTAGTTGCCGGACGGAAGAAGCTTGTCCCAGTCAGTGCGGAATGAGGAGTCCCCCCGATTCTTCAGCGCTTCCCTGTTCTCTTCATTAGTGACGCAGCTCTGGCGGTCGAAGCGGGATCGCTGGCAGATGGCGTCAGACCCGCACCACCATTCCTGTGACGTCAGCTGGGGGTCTGTCAGGCGCAGGCACGTGCGGTGGAAAGAAACGGCGCACCGGCGGCAGGCCACCGTCGGTTGGGCTCCGATGGGCTTCCAGCATTCGGCACAGAAAGCCATGTTTGGGCAGCGCAGGGACTCCGCCCTAGCTTCTTTCCAACGCTTCCTGCGGATGGGTGCAGCTTCTCTCCGCCCAACGCGCGCGTTTGCTATTTCTCATCTGGAGAGGTCTCTGCTCCTTCCTGAAGATAGAACGCAATGAAAGAGTGAAGAGAGTGTGACCACCACACGTCTGGAGATGAGAATTTTACGGGGCAGTGCAAGAAGATGCCAGCTGCATGCAGTGAGTTTGACACAGGCATGCCTCGATCGTTAAGGCTTTACGTTCCTGGTTCGCAAGTTCAAACGAGACCGGAACGGACGGACGAGTCGGACGAAAGCTAAATCCCCAAAGCTTTTGGGTACCCTTAGAGATTTATGTTTGACTTTAGTGGATGGTCGATGCGGCGCAAGATCTTCCAAGAATCTCGTGACATGTTCCGTTTGAGCGGAACGAACTAACCCAATCTGAACGGACAGGTCTTCGTCTCATCAGGTGTTATGCCGCGCAGTGCCAGCGCCCGGCCGGCGGGGAAGCGGTGCGCGCGGCTTCGGCCCGTCGGGCCGAGCGCCAGGCCCGGAAAAACCCGACCCGAAGTGCGAAAACTCTAAACACGAAAAATATTTACCAGAACCCAAGTGCGAAAAGAAAAATTGAATAAAAATAATTATGAAAAACAGGTTGGTGCGAATTGAGAGCGGCGGTACGGTACGGCGGCCAACCCTAGTGCCACTCAAAACTGCGTACCGGGGAAATTTGCTGGCAACTGATTGCCCCCTTGGGTCACTCCCCCTGATCTCATGGCAACTTATCGCCCCCTTGGGTCACTCCCCCTAGCTTCTGAGCAGCTTCCAAGAAGCTTCCGCGCACTTGACATGAATTGGGTAACCTACAATGTTTATCAACTTTCCTGTTACCGCGGCCAACCCTAGTCGCACTAAAAAACCATTTCAAACGGCATTTTCGATTGTAAAACGATCTCAGGTATGGCGATAGTGCTCAAAACCATCTGCGCGTCCTTTCGTTGTCAGCGTGGCGACAATGAGTACGTGGACATTGCGAGGCTCGTTCGGAGCGCCAATCGTGGTAGGAAGAGCGCAGCGCTCGAACTAGGCATCCGCTATATCGACGGCAAAGGCGTCCGTCAGAACAGGGAGCTGGCAATTGACTGGTTGATCCGTGCCGCGTCCGACGAGGATTTCCGTTCCTTTAGTGACTTGCCGTTGCAAAGAGAGGCGTCTTACCTACTCGGCACCTGCTACGACAATGGCGGAGAGGCGTGTTACCTACTCGAAGGCAAAATCGAAAGCCGGGCTGTCGCGGTACGATGGTACCGTAAGGCCGCCGAAGGTGGTCACGCAGAGGCGCAGAACAACCTCGGCGAGTGCTACCATCTTGGCACGGGGATACAGAAGGACCATCAGCAGGCCGTTGCGTGGTTCCGCAAGGCCGCCGAACAGGGTTGCGCAGAGGCGCAGAACAACCTCGGCGAGTGCTACCATCTTGGCACGGGGATACAGAAGGACCATCAGCAGGCCGTTGCGTGGTTCCGCAAGGCCGCCGACCGGGGTGACGCAGACGCGCAGAACAACCTCGGCGGGTGCTACGTCAAGGGCGAGGGTGTCCCAAAGGACTTGAACCGGGCTGTCGCGTTGTACCGCAAGGCCGCCGACGAGGGTCACGCCGTGGCCCAGTTAAACGTCGGTTTGGGATACTTCAACGGTGAGTGGGGCGTAAAGGACGCAGAGCAGGCCGTTACGTGGTTTCGCAAGGCCGCAGACCAGGGTAACGCGTGCGCGCAGTACTGCATCGGCGTGTACTACAGGTCGGGCGATGGCGTCGCGAAGGACGTAAAGCAGGCCGTCTCGTGGTACCGCAAGGCCGCCGACCAGGGTGACGCGGCCGCGCAGTGCAGCCTGGGCATCTGCTACGCCAAGGGCGAGGGCGTCGCGAAGGACGTGAAGCAGGCCGTCGCATGGTACCGCAAGGCCGCCGCCCAAGGAAACGCAACCGCGCAGTCCAACCTCGCCGAGATGTACGCCGAAGGGCTGGGAGGATTACCCCGCGACTTTGCGGAGGCGGCGCGTCTTTATGAGATTGCCGCCGGGGACCCCGAAGTACTTTCCGCGAAGCTGTGCCTTGCGTGGCTGCTTTGGACTGGGAACGGGGTGACTCTGGATCAGGCCCGATCGCGAGCGTTGTGCGCCGAAGTTCGGGCAACTGAGTATCATGCCAAGCGCCTGGAGGATGTAGTTGCTGCGGGTTCGTTTTGGCCGACAGTTGTGGACTGGTTCGAAGAAGAAAACATGTAGAACAATTGTAGAAACGCGCGTACAGTTCTCTATTCAGAACTCTAGGAACAACCCGATCATCACGGGTTCGACAATCATTGACAGCGCACAAGTTCTAAACATGATACGATTTACCTATCGCTGACCAACTATACATTGTTTACGACATTGTCCACTGTGCCATGCTGCTCTAAGGTCGCCAGTACTCGTCCCGCTATTGTTGCATCTTCCTCGCTGACCGCCGACGCCTCTGTGATGTAACCGATGCGAAAGTCGTTCCACAACGGCTGGCCCGGTCTCGGATAGTAGGGGTCGTTGGCCAGGTAACTGTCTGCCAGGTCATTGGGAGTCTGCTATGGTCGTACTTGGTTGAAGTCGAAGCAATAGAAGGCGGGCACCGCCAGCGGATTGAACGCGTCCCCGCCTTGAACGAACTCGATGTCCCGCCCGTCATTCCGTGCACTGAAGTGAATTCTGGCGAGCATCGCGCCCATGTCATGAGCAATTTTAGCGGTCGATACGGGTACGTTCAGAGCGGCCAACCTCTTCACATCGAGAGGAAAATTCAGGGGGTTGAAGAAACGCCTGGTCTTCGCGCACTGCTTCCCGAGGTACAATCGTGAGACGAAACTCTGCTCGTTGTCTTTGAAGGCCTCGGGGAAAAAAGCTTCCCGGACGATATCCATGAGCGGTGGCGGCACCGGCCACACGCGCTCCATCACGTACATGCATGCATCGTTCTTCACTTCGTCCAAATCCCCTTTCAGGTGCATCGCGGTCCTAAAATCGGCGCAATTCTTGTAATATCCGACGGGCTACAGTTTTGCATCGACACTCATTTGAGCAGTTTGCTACATTTCTGCACAAGAACTCAACAGTTCTTAAGAAGTTTCGTAACAAAAGACAATATGCAGGTATGCATCTGCCTGCTAACATTTCATACATCATTGTCATGTAAAGAGAGTTATAATGTGTTCAGCGTTGCGTTAAATTCTAGTATTCCTAGTACCTTTTTAGTACTCTTCATGAACAGCTTCGGAAGCCAACCCCCCCACTCTTACTCAACACACTCACTCTTAGGATCCACTTTCATAGCCGAAACACACAGTCAGCACATGGAGCAGAAAGCATAGATGATTAGATCGAGTCCACTGCACAACTTCCAAATCAGGCCATGGCAGGAAATGATGGCGAACATTTTCTACATCAGGTCAGCGCAAGAGATAACGGTGAACATATCCTCCTCAGGAAGATACAAAGCATGACTGAGGACATATTCCATATTAGGTAGCGCTTGAAGCGTTTTGTTAGACTACCTTTTGGGATTTTATTGTTTATGATGGTAACCGACTACCCCTACAACCTAAAACACCACAGACAGCCCTATGTTATGTCAAACCATATACAATGCAAGTAGAGCCAGAATAACACACTTGTACGATCTTGCTGTAAACGTTTCCACGGCTTTGGAAACGGGACCTGCTGGAGAGGCGGCAGGACTTTCGTAGATCCAATAACATCCCGGGTACCCACCCGTTTTGTATCCACTAGAATCAAGAGCGACTTCGGCTGGAACGCAATTGGCAAACGAATCTCTCTCGCAAGAGTGAGGATATGTGGTACCATAAGACAATTCGCAGGTCGAGTTCTTGACATATGCGCTGCACAAGGCCAACAGCCACAAATGAAGGATAGCACGAGCTTCACAAACCTTGGCAAGAAAAACCCAGCACCCATAGGAAACATGAATACTATTGAAAACATACTGAGTGCTTGGCTGCAAGGAAAAGGGAACCAATTGAACAGCTCGCAATTCCTTCATATGATACTTTGTTAGTGTACAACCACGGCTTTGTTTGAGCGCAGTTCTAACAAAAACATGAATCTATTCAAGTTTTAAGAAAAAGAGGGCCTCTTACTTGCAGGGATTGGCTCTAGCTGGACAGGCTACCGCGCAGCCAAATATGTCAGAGCAGTCTCCTCCCGAACTGCCTCCTCCAATTTTTAGATATGCTTGCCAAAACAAGGTCGCATTGTTGCATGTTACACTTGGAGAACCAAGACATTGGCCTTTCAAGACTTTTGGGTTGTAATAGGTTGAAAAATAGGGAGCTTGCTCGTTCCACAAACAACCATCCACAGTGCCACAGTCCGCCTTTAAGTAGTCTGAACAACGGATGCCAACCAAAGGACCGTTCAGCGGTAAGCAACCGTACTCTCTGCGAAGTATAGCAAGAGGAGATTGTTTAATGACAATGTCCGTGTGCAATAGCAAGCAACAACTTGGGAACTAATATGGATGAAGCCCTACAATTGAATTCAAAACGAAGGTAAGCAAATCAACACTATGGACATCCATTTGAGATGTTTCCAGTGACTTAGATGCTGCATGTAATGTCAAACAAACCCTAGGCAACTGGCAACTGGCAGAAATTTACCTGCATGATCCACTTGTTCCAAATGCGATACACCCAGTATAGCATCCTTGTGCTTTTGTAGGAGTGCATTGTTCTGTGTTGTTTGGAAAGAGCCCAACACAGAACTTGTTGGTCGGATTCCCCTGACATTGACCCTGAGAGGGAGGTGTTGCTGGTAAGTTGTTTGATTGTTGCCACTGGCAACCATGTTGGGCACAAACATATGGGTTTCCCATTGATCCGCATGCTGCAGGAGAGCCCCCACATGGATCACCCAACCTGTAAAATGAAACATGACCAATGTGGAGCGTTTCACGCCAATGCAGACGTGAGAATGGCTTCCAAAGCTGATCCAGAACTTACCAAAGCATGCCAACAACAGCAATGGCATCGACGAAGAATAAGATGTGATGGAGACATGAGACACCGAAGGCAAGAATCATCCTGAACAACACTTGGGCACTCAAGAGAAAGTCTGGTCTGATAAAGTCCAGTTGCAAGCAAGGACCAACTTGATCTTCATCAACTTGGTTGTCACTTCAGACAGCCCATGAGGAACGCATGATGCTAAAAATGATACACTTGTCCTGTCCGCGCAATTTTTCGTTTTGACAACCAGGATTGAACAAGCCTTACTTATTTGATATGTAATAGCATCCCCTTTTGGTGGTGCAAGAAGTAGGGCAACCTCCCGGGCTTCCAGTACAATGCGCATGAGCAACTGGTAGGAGGATCGAAGAACTTGCCATAAGCAATAACCACACTGCATTCGAACAGTGCTGTACTTGCACCTTTCTGAAAGATTGAGGAAGCGCCATCAACACCAATGGACTGTCTTCGTCGTGGGTCACGCTCAGAGGAAGTTAGGCTTGGTGTTACTGTCGTCAATGAATCTGGCGAAAGGGATGAAGACATAAACCGTGTTCTCATACGCTTTGCAGGCGGGCCCAGACGTCAACGTCAAAAGGAACGCCAATGACATGTAAGCGACCCTGATCCTACAGTGCTGCTGCGTGGCATCTTGCTCCAACCCACAACGTACTTTGCTGAGTGAAGGCTGCCTTCCTGCTTTCCTTTTCGGCCAACACACTGTTTGGCTTATTGGTATTGTTATTGCTTGGCACAAGTCGATGCCTTCGTGATCACGCCTTGCACAAGCCCCCTCAAGTGTACTTGGATGACGTGACTTGCTAGAGGAAACCAAACCCAGATGCTAAGCAGTCAAACAGGATGGTCCCCTCCCCTCTGTAGGTAGTCTTACGGCTGGCGGGGAGGGGGGGAGTCCCCGTTGGTCCA